TCCCTGGGAGCTCTAACATGCTATGTTAGAGCTCCCTGTGAGCCATGATCGTCATCATCATCATCATCATCGTCGTCGTCAGCGTCATCATCATCATCATCATCATCATCATCATCATCATCGTCATCGTCCTCATCATCGTCGTCGCCATCATCATCAGCATCGTCGTTATCATCATCATCGCCATCGTAATCAGCATCCCCCCATGGCCCATGGCCCTCCTCCTGCTCACCCTTTTTCCTGCTATCCTGCTCCTCCTGCTCCTCATCCTCCTCCTTCTCCTCCTCCTCACGTTCCCCCTCCCCCGACCCCCTCCTCTGGACCTGGACGGGGCGCCCCGCGGGTAGTTAGAGAGCCCAAGATGGCCCAAGACGGCTCCAAAAGCGCCTCGGAGAGCCCAAGATGACCTCCGAGATGCTTCAAGATAGCCTAACATGCCTCAAGATGGCCCCGCATATTCTCCAAGGGGGCCCAAGAACGCTCCAAGACGGCTCCAAGAGGCCTCGGAGACCTCCAAGGAGGCCCCCAAGATGCCCAAACCCTTTAAACAACTTACAGCAAATATGTGATGTGTGCCTTCTCGCCTTTTCGCTTCCGATGACCACCCGAAACCCCGAAATGGCTCCAAGATGGCCCAAGAGGGTTGCTGCTACTGCTGTTGCTGCTGCTAGTGGCAAGGCTGCTGCAGGTGCTCGTGGTGCTGCTGCCGGTGCTGCCAGTGATGCTGCTGCTGTCGTTGCTGCTGCTGCTGATGGTGTTGCTGCCGGCGCTGCTGCTGGCGCTAGCGCTGCTGCTGCTGGTGGGGGAGGGGAGGGGGGGGGGGCGGAGCGGAGGAGGAAGAGGAGGGGAATGAGGGGGAGCGTGAGGAGGAGGAGGAGAAGGAGGATGAGGAGCAGGAGGAGCAGGGGAGCAGGACAAAATGGTGAGCAGGAGGAGGGCAATGGGCCACGGGGGGATGCTGATTATGATGATGATATCGATGATGATGATGATGACGATGATGATGACGACGATGATGATGATGATGCTGAGGATGCCGACGCTGCTGCTGCTGCTGATGATGATGACGATGGTGATGACGACGATGAGGAGGAGGGGGAAGAAGAAGAAGAAGAAGAAGAAGAAGAAGAAGAAAGGCGAGGAGAGGGGGATGCAGGGTACGAGGCACAAGGGGGATCAGGAGGATGAGCAGGAGGAGGAGGAGGACGAGGAGGAGGAGGAGGAGGACAACGACGACGAGGATTCGTGGGAGGAACACAGTGGAAGGTTGGATGGATGACCAGGCACGTGGGAGGAAAGGAGAGGAAGATGAGGAGGCGGCTGCGGAGAGGATGTATCGTCGTCGTCGTCGTCGTCGCCGTCTTCACCTCGTCGTCCTCGTGGAAGTCGTCGCCGTCGTAAGGGCCCAACCCCATGCAGCTGCGAATAACGCAGGATGACTCTCTCCTCATAGGTAGCGCGCCGCCAGAGGGGCGGAGCCCGAGGCATTCCGGATGGGGGCCGCGAAGCGTCTGAGGGGGTTGCCGAAATGAAGCGGACGCGCAAAATGGAAATGCCCAGGAGCCCGCTGCGTCGGCAACTCCGTCGGCGCCGTCGGCGTCGGACCCTACGTCAGCATCGGCGTCCGAGCTGTTGCAGCTGCCACGGCTTGGCGAAGCTGCCCTCGACGAGGCCGCCGAGGCCGCGCGGCTCGACGGGGCCGCTCTCGACGAGGCCGCGCGGCTTGAGGATGCCGCTCTCGAAGAAACCGCCGCGGCCGCTGTCGAAGAAGCCGCCGAGGGCGCTCTCGAAGAAGCAGGGCTCGGGGAAACCAAAGGAGAGGACGAGGCCGCAGGGCTCGGGGAGGCCGCAGGGCTCGGGGAAACCGAAGGAGGGGACGACGACACTACCTTGAGCCAAGTGCTACGGACCACAATGGTGACGATGGTGATGGTAATGGCGATGCTGATGGTATGGGTGATGATGATGATGATGATGATGGGGATGGTGATGATGGTATGGTGAGGGCGGTTGTGATGGTGATGATGGTGATGGTGATGATGGTGATTCTAGATGTGATGAGCACCACCATCATCACCATCACCATCGCCACCACCATCATCACTACGATTTGATAACCACCATCGCCACCACCATCATTACAATCGTCGTCGGCATCAAAACACAAAACCACTCAACCGACTCAACCTAAATCCGCCCTAAATCAAGCCAGCAGTTATTGGCCATTTGCATCTTTGAGAGAGCGTGACCCACCGCCGCTTTACTGTGGAACGTTCCCCCCCTCTTCCTCTGGAACCCGGGGCCCCCCCCCTTCCGAAAATCCCCCCCCTACTGGGCCCCCCCGTTCCTTTTTCCCCCCGGGAAACCCCCGCCCTCCCATACCCCCCCCCTCTGAAAAATCAAAAAAAATCACTGCCGGTTCGACCCCCCCCTTCTCCGGAAAACCGAGGGGGGGGTCACGGTGTACCAATTCGAACCCCTCCCCCCCCCGAAAATCAAAGAGGGGTCGCTACCGGTTCGACCCACCGGGGGTCACTACCGGTTCGACCCCGCCCCCCCCCTCGAAAACCGAGGGGTGGTCACTACCGGTTCGAAACCCCCCCCTCTCGAAAACCGGGGCGGTCACTACCGGTTCGAGCCCCCCCCCCTCGAAAACCGAGGGGGGGCACTACCGGTTCGAGCCCTCCCCCCCCTTCTCGAAAACCGGGGGGGGGGTCACTACCGGTTCGGACCCCCCCTCGAAAGCCGGGGGGGGGGTCACCTAACGGTTCGGACTGCCCCCCCCCACGCTCACCGCCAGCACACCCCTCTGCCACCACTGTCCCCGCTGTTCCCACCACCGTCACCACTGTCCTCACCAGTGCCCCCACCACTGTCGCACTGTCCCCACTGTCCCCACCACTGTTCCCACCACGGTTCCACTCTTTCCACTTTCTCCACGGCCCCAACCACTGTCCCACCGTCCCCGCTGTCCCACGTCCCCGCCGCTGTCCCACTGAGCTGTCCCACTGTTCCCACCACTGTCCCCACTGTCCCCACCACTGTCCCTACTGTACCACTATCCCATTATCCCACCGCCGTCCTCGCCACCGCCCTCACCACTGTCGCCACCACCACTGTACCCTCCACTGTCCCACTGTCTCCACCACATTCCCACTGTCCCCCCACCACTGTCCCCCCCACCACTGTCCCCACCACTGTCCCACTATCCCCACTGTTCCCACCATTGTCCCAGCTGTCCCCACCAGTGCCCCCCACATGTGTCTCACTGTCCCCACCCTCCCCACCATTGTCCCACCACGGTCCCACTCTCCCCATTTTCCCTACGGCCCCCACAACTGTCCCACTGTCCACACTGTTCCCACCACTGTTCACTGTCCCCGCTGCTGTCCCACTGCGCTGTCCCACCGTCCCAACTGTCCCCATCACTGTCCCACTGTCCCACTGTCCCCACCACTCTCCCCACTGTAGTACTGTCCCACCACTGTCCTCACCACCGCCTTCACCACTGTCCCCACCACTACCGTCCCCACTGTCCCGCTGTCCCCTCGCCACTGTCCCCACCACCACCGTCCCCACCACCGTCCGCACCACTGTCCAACTGTCCCCGCACCACTGTCCCCACCACCACTGTTCCCACCACTGTCCCAACATCCCCACCATCCTCAAACTGTCCCGAGGAGCGGGCATCGTTTCGTTTGCCGGCGGCGAGGGGGGGGGGAGGGGGGGGGTTCGAACAGGTAGTGACCACCCACGGTTTTCAAGAAGGGGGAACAGACTACGCAGGAAACGCAATACGAAAAAAACGCTACACCACACAGGAAGCACTACGCAACAAACATTACGCAGGAGACACTACGCAAAGAATCGCAACGCAAGGAACACGGCGTAGGAGACACTACGCAGGAAACGCCACGCAGGAAACACTACGCAAGAAACGCTACGCAATAGACACACTACAAAAAAACGTCGTACAAAAAAACACGACGTGCAAAAAACACTGCGTTGTAATTACTGCTTCTCGTAAATAAAAAACGATCTTTTTAATATAAAAATTAAGCACTGCGTTACGAATACGTTAAGATAATCGGTTTCATATAAAAAACACTGCAGTTCGCAACAGCAAAAACACTACGCAATAGACACACTACGAAAAAAAAAAACACGACGTACAACAACGACGTAATCATAGCACTTATAATACACATTGCGTTTAAAATATTGCCCTGTGTAAATTGAACATGCTCGGTTTAATAACAACTCGGGGATGGACAGACCCCCCTTTAGCAAAACGTGGTTTAGTGAAAACGACCCCAGGCCTAAACCTGGCGGGCGCAAGCCTGGAAAATTACGGCCACGGCGCCCTCTCGAGAACCGAAAACGGACAATTCACTAATCGACGTGTCACTGTTGGGGGTTCTGTCCAGCCCCGAAAAAATAAGCACTGCGTTAATATTACGTTAAGGAAACTGCGTTTACAAAAACACTACGCTTCGCAGCAAACATTATAGGGAGCTCCACCCGAAGCTCCAGTGGCATGGTTCGCATGCGTACTCGGGTCCAGCCTGGCACCCCCTCACGCGTTTCGTGGCCTCACAGGGAGCTGCACCGAAGGCTCCAGTGGCAGGGTTCGCATGCGTACTCGGGTCCACTTCAGTACACCCCTCACACGTTTCGTGGCGCCGTAGGAAGCTTCACCGAAGGCTCCAGTGGCAGGGTTCGCATGCGTACTCGGGTCAAACCTGGCACACCCCTCGCACGCTTCGTGGCCCCACAGGGAGCTCCGCCGTCAGCTCCACTGGCAAGGTTTGCGTGCGTTTTACCCCTCACACGTTTCGTGGCTCCACAGGGAGCCTCATTTGAAGGCCCCGATGGCTGGGTCGACATGGCGATTCGGGCACCTTCCGGGCGCGTCCCGGTCGAGAAGAGGGAAAAGGGTGAGGAGCCAAGCGCCAGCGTAGTTTGACATATTTGCGATGCGCTCCTGGGTACCGCAGGAGTCACGCCGCGGGCTGCGCGCTGCCGTTGCAGGGCGCCGCACCACTGCGCGCGCTCTGCGTGAGGGCAGTGAGGCTTGGCCACAGCTGTGCCTCCAGCCGGTCTCGCTCTCCTGTCATGTTCTTCCGTTCCTCCAGTGACGTGCCCGTCTCCTTGCAGGTCCCGCCGCTGTCAAAGAAGCGGAGAGGCAACTCCTGCTGCATGGCGCAGAGGCTGTGCGCCGCTTGCTGCGTGTCCGGCTCCAGGTTGGAAGGGTGCTTCATGACGATGGTGTTCCCGAAGAGGTCGTAGCCGCGGTAATGGTACGCCGCGCCTCGAGCGACTCCTGACAGCCCGGGCATGTATACCAGGCCTTGCTCCTCGAACATCCTCTGCCATTCCTGCCGTGGCCCCATGGACTCGTTCAGGTGGCCGGTCCCCAGCTGGCCCGGCCGCGCCGCGGAGAACACCGGCCAGCGCCGCGTGGCCTTGGCGAGCATCTGCACCAGGCGGTCGTGGAACTGGGCGGGCACGTGCTCGGCCACCTCGAAGGACATGACGAGGTCGAAGCCCTCATCCACGAGCCCGCGGAGGCAGCCCTCGGCGCCGGGCGCGAAAATGTCCACCGACAGCCGGTGCATGCGGCTCTCTGGCAGCGCCAGCCTCAGCGAGGGGTCCGGCTCCAGGCGCACGACCTGCGGGCGCCCGGGCGCAAAGCGCTCGACCAGGTCGGAGGTGGTCCCCAAGCCGCACCCGAACTCCAGCACCGAGCGGGGCGCCAACTGCCTGGCCAAGAAGAGCTGGAAGCTGGGCGCCGTGTTCAGGCCGTACAATTTCAGGTGGGTGCAGATGCCCCACGCGCCGCCCTGCTCGCCCTTCAGCCCCTCCCGCAGCCGCCTGGCCCCCTTGGCCTCGAACGCGCCGCGCGCTGCGGGGACGCCTGCGACGGCCGGCTCCGCAGCCCGAGGCGCGGCCGCGGGGGCCGATGGCGCGCCGACGGCGCCGCCGGCGCCGCGGGGCTCTCCTGGCGCGGTCGCGGACATTGGAGGCGGCGCGGGCTGCGCGCTGCCGTTGCAGGGCGCCGCACCACTGCGCGCGCTCTGCGTGGGGTCAGTGAGGCTTGGCCACAGCTGTGCCTCCAGCCGGTCTCGCTCTCCTGTCATGTTCTTCCGTTCCTCCAGTGACGTGCCCGTCTCCTTGCAGGTCCCGCCGCTGTCAAAGAAGCGGAGAGGCAACTCCTGCTGCATGGCGCAGAGGCTGTGCGCCGCTTGCTGCGTGTCCGGCTCCAGGTTGGAAGGGTGCTTCATGACGATGGTGTTCCCGAAGAGGTCGTAGCCGCGGTAATGGTACGCCGCGCCTCGAGCGACTCCTGACAGCCTGGGCATGTATACCAGGCCTTGCTCCTCGAACATCCTCTGCCATTCCTGCCGTGGCCTCATGGACTCGTTCAGGTGGCCGGTCCCCAGCTGGCCCGGCCGCGCCGCGGAGAACACCAGCGCCGCGTGGCCTTGGCGAGCATCTGCACCAGGCGGTCGTGGAACTGGGCGGGCACGTGCTCGGCCACCTCGAAGGACATGACGAGGTCGAAGCCCTCATCCACGAGCCCGCGGAGGCAGCCCTCGGCGCCGGGCGCGAAAATGTCCACCGACAGCCGGTGCATGCGGCTCTCTGGCAGCGCCAGCCTCAGCGAGGGGTCCGGCTCCAGGCACACGACCTGCGGGCGTCCGGGCGCAAAGCGCTCGACCAGGTCGGAGGTGGTCCCCAAGCCGCACCCGAACTCCAGCACCGAGCGGGGCGCCAACTGCCTGGCCAAGAAGAGCTGGAAGCTGGGCGCCGTGTTCAGGCCGTACAATTTCAGGTGGGTGCAGATGCCCCACGCGCCGCCCTGCTCGCCCTTCAGCCCCTCCCGCAGCCGCCTGGCCCCCTTGGCCTCGAACGCGCCGCGCGCTGCGGGGACGCCTGCGACGGCCGCGGCCGGCGAGGCGGCAGCGGGGCCGCCCTTTGCCGTAGCCTCTGGGGCAGCCGAGGCAAGCTGGGACAGGGCCACGTCGTACAGCGGGCAGGGCTCTTGCCCCTTTGCGCCCCTGCAGTTCACCGTCGTGCGAGACACCCAGAGGCCGAGGAACGCAAGGAGCGCACACACCACGAAGGCGCGGGGCCGCCCACCCATGACGTGCTCCAGACCACGCGCGAATGACACTGGGTCAAGCCCGAAAGACTTGAGCCCAAATTGCCACGAAAAACGCTTGAACACACGCTGGAGATCTGCGCGGCAAGGGCCATGATCATCTCTGGCAGCTGCAGAAACGGAAGGCGAATCCCAGCAGAAACCGTGCTCAAGTTCCAGCGATGCCCCCTCCGCAGACCCCCGGAGTCATGATTGTTTCATAACGTCGACCCCTAGAGGTCTCAACCCCTTCCGTTGGACAGATGTTCTATCCCGAGACGTTTCTTGTTGCTCCCGAGGCCTGGTAATGGCCCTCAGGGACGGAAAATTGCGAAAAAAACGCCCGTGGTGATTGTTCATGACCCGAGGCGTCTGCGCCCCCCGTGCTCAAGCCTTCGCTGGCCGCGTGGCTGGACGGCGACCCCCTGTCGGACGCACCGTGTTTTCTAGCGTGATGCGGTGGTCATGCTCGGCAGCGGGGCCGAAACCAAAGTGCGTGCGTAGAAGATTCCGTGCTCCCCCGTTTCCCAAATTCCCCCCTGCTGTTTCGTCCGACCCCAGCCCAGACCGACGTCGTGTCTCTTTCGCGACGTCGACGCCCAGAAGTCTCGACCCGTCTCCCGGGGCTCGTTTTCCATCCCCAAACAATATTTGAAGGTCCCGGGGGGGCCGACGATCGCCAAAAACCTTCCATACAGAAGAAGGAGGAGGAGGAGGAGGAGGAGGAGAAGGAGGAGGAGGCAGGATCCGGATCCCTTTCGCCCGATCCGGATTTTCAGCAGCACAAGCTCGTCGCCGCGCATGCCCGCGGGGCCCTCGCCCTCCGAGGCGGGTGCCCGCCGCGGTGAGGCGGGAAGCCCTGCATCAGGCTGTTATGGGGGGCCTAGGGCAAGAAGGGTCTGTTGCAAGCACGAAGAATGTGTGTGTGTGTGTGCGTGTGTGCGTGTGTGCGTGCGTGCGTGCGTGCGTGCGTGCGTGCGTGCGTGCGTGCGTGCGTGCGTGCGTGTGTGCGTGTGCGTGTGCGTGTGCGTGTGCGTGTGCGTGTGCGTGTGCGTGTGCGTGTGCGTGTGCGTGTGCGTGTGCGTGTGCGTGTGCGTGTGCGTGTGCGTGTGCGTGTGCGTGTGCGTGTGCGTGTGCGTGTGCGTGTGCGTGTGCGTGTGCGTGTGCGTGTGCGTGTGCGTGTGCGTGTGCGTGTGCGTGTGCGCGTGCGCGTGCGCGTGCGCGTGCGCGTGCGCGTGCGCGTGCGCGTGCGCGTGCGCGTGCGCGTGTGCGTGTGCGTGTGCGTGTGCGTGTGCGTGTGCGTGTGCGTGTGCGTGTGCGTGTGCGTGTGCGTGTGCGTGTGCGTGTGCGTGTGCGTGTGCGTGTGCGCGTGCGAGTGCGTGTGCGTGTGCGTGTGCGTGTGCGTGTGCGTGTGCGTGTGCGTGTGCGTGTGCGTGTGCGTGTGCGTGTGCGTGTGCGTGTGCGTGTGCGTGTGCGTGTGCGTGTGCGTGTGGTGTGCGTGTGCGTGTGCGGGTGCGTGTGCGTGTGGTGCGGTGTGGTGGCGTGTGCGTGTGCGTGTGGTTGTGCGTGCGTGGGTGCGTGTGCGTTTGTGCTCCGCGCGTGTGCGTGTGCGTGTGCGTGTGAGTGTGTGTGTGTTGTGTGTGTGTGCGCGTGTGCGTGTGCGTGTGTGGGTGCGTGTGTGCGCGTGCGCGTGCGTGTGTGTCCTGTGTGTGTGTGTGTTGTGTGTGTGTGTGTACGTGTGTGTACGTAGTGTTTACGTGTGTGTGATGGTGCTGAGTGCGTGCGTGTCTGCGTGTGGTGCGTGCGTGCGGGGGGCGGGCGGGCGGGCGGGGCGGGCGGGCGGGCGGGCGGGCGGGCGGGCGGGCGTGTATGTGTGTGTGTGTGTGTGCGTGCGTGCGTGCGTGCGCGTGCGTGTCTGTGTCTGTGTCTGTGTCTGTGTTTGTGTTTGTGTTTGTGTTTGTGTTTGTGTTTGTGTTTGTGTTTGTGTTTGTGTTTATGCGTGCGTGCGTGCAACCAAATCGCAAAAGGCCACGTGCGCCGCCCGACAACCGCCCGCCGAATAATCAAAAACCAATGAGCCCGGGCTCCGCCCGGGCTCCGCCCGGGACACTCCCCCAGATCCTCCAGGATCGCCCCAAGAGGGCCCCAAGAGGCCCCCAACACAATCCAAGAGAGGTCCTAGACGCCCGAAGATCGCTCCACGGCGCCCAAGATGGCCTCCGGACGGCCCAAGACGTCTCCAAGATGACCCAACAAGCCTCCAAGATGCCCCAAGAGACCTCCAGGAGCACTCCCAAGAGGGCCCCAAGAGGCAAACATCCAGGCTTTTTCCTAGATTTTGGACAGATTTGGGCGTTTCAACCTTTTCGGTTCCCCGACGCCCCTAAACGGCTCAAGGGGCCTCCAAGATCGCCCCAAGAGGGCCCAAGAGGCCCTCAAAAGGGCCCCAAGACGGCCCAAGACGGCTCCAAGACGGCCCCAGAGGCCTCCAAGACGGCCCAAGAGGGCCCCAAGAACGCCCCCAACACGGTCCAAGAGAGGTCCGAGACGCCCGAAGATCGCTCCACGACGCCCAAGATGGCCTCCGGACGGCCCAAGACGTCTCCAAGATGGCCCAAGAAGCCTCCAAGATGCCCCAAGAGGCCTCCAAGAGAACTCCCAAGAGGGCCCCAAGAGGCAAAAACCTGTGCTTTTCCTTTGGTGTTGGACAGATTTGGGCGTTTTAACCTTTTCGGTTCCCCGACGCGCTTAAACGGCTCAAGAGGCCTCCAAGATCGCCCCAAGAGGGCCCAAGAGGCCCCCAAGAGGGACCCAAGACGGCCCAAGACGGCTCCAAGACGGCCCCAGAGGCCTCCAGGACGGCCCAAGAGGGGCCCAAGAACGCCCCCAACACTACACAGCTCCCGACGCCGCAGCTCCACACTGCAAACGACCACTTGGACAGGCGACCACGGTGCGACATTATGGGCCGGCGGAGTGAGCGAAGCGATTAAATAATCAAAAACCAATGCGAAACGACCACAAAGGCGCCGCACGACAACCGCCGAATAATAAAAAACAATGCGAAGCGACCAAGAGGGCGCCGCCCGACAACCGCAGAACCATCAAAAACCAACGCGAAACAGCCAGAAGGGCGACGCCCGACAACTGCCGAATCATCAAAAACCAATTCGAAACGGCCATGGGCGCCGCTCGACAACCGCCGAGTAATCAAAAACCAATCGGAAACGGCCACCCTGCAATTTTGGCCCCGGCTCCTCCCCGTTCCAGCCCCCTCGTCTGACACCCCACCCCCTGCGAAGTTCCATCGGGGCACTGTTCTTGGGACCCCCACCCTGCAATTGTGGCCTCGGCTCCTCCCCGTTCCAGCCCCCCCGTCTGACACCCCACCAAATGAGAAGCCCCTATCGGGAAATTGTTTTTGGGCCCCCCCAGCCTGCAATTTTGGCCCCAGCTCCTCCCCGTTCCAGCCCC